GGGCGTCGTAGGTGCCAAAGCCTGCCGTGCACTTTTGGCAGGGGTAGCTGCTTCTTCTGTAGCTGCTTCACTCTTGTTTGGTGAAGCCGTGGCTGGTCACCAAGTGCTACTTAGACCCCCACTGAATGCTACCTATATAGATTCACTTTTATGTTTGAGTTGTTCTATGTCACGGTTTGTCTTTCGTTGCGTCGGTTTGTTTTGTGTCCTTTACTTTGTGCTGCTTATTTTTGCATATTTTTCTGTCATATGCACAAGAACACTTTGTTGCAACAAAGCAACTCTGGAGCCACAAAAGACAACACAACAAACATAATACAAGTTGCCAAATGCTTCAAGATAGATAACCACAGTGGACTCATACTACTGTGCATGTAGTTGCCTAGTTTTTCATTTAGCCATTTCAACTAACCTACACGAATACTACACGAACTTAACAAACAAAATCACAAAAGACGTAAGCAAAACATAAAACATATTATAACACTGACATAAAAGTACTGAACACTGACACAAAAGTGTCACAAAAGAGACACAAAAGTGACACAAAAGCGACGCAAAAGTGACACAAAACTGACACAAAAGCGACACAAAAGTGCCACAAAAGCAAGACAAAAGTGACACAAAAGTGACAAAAGAGACACAAAAGTGACACAAAAGCGACAAAAGTGACGCACACACACACAAAATGTGACACAAAACCGACACAAAAGCGACACAAAAGGGACACAAAACCGACACAAAAGCGACACAAAAGCGACACAAAACCGACACAAAAGTGACAACTTTTACATTGCAACTGACACTTAAAGTGTCACTTTTATGTAAAACTACACTGAAAAAGTTGCAGTTTCAAAATAAAAGTGGCACTATTAGTGTCACTTTGGTGTCATAGTTGAATTTGACTTTTTACAAAGCAATATTTTCATATATTTATTGAGATATTGTTTGGGCTTGTATACGTGATATTGACCTATTTGGTGAAGTAAAATGCAAGGAGTACTGTCATCAGCAGTGGAGCGAGTACTGTCGAAGGAGTACTGTCATCAGCTCCATCCAACTGCAGGTGTTCCAAAATGGTGTCGACCTTCTCTTTGGAATCGAAGGTGGCCTTCCTCATTGCTGTTGCGTAAGCTTCATGGTTCTTCTTGATGCCTCTGGCTTGTGCAAGCAAAACACGAATCCTTTGATCTACCTGGTCCACAAAGTCAGCTGTATGGAAGTGTGTTTTGTTGACCATTTTTGAACAGTCTTGGATCATCCTCTGTAGTGCTAGCTTAACTTTGGCTGACCTATAGTAGCCCATTTGGCGCAATCTTCAAGAAATACACCAACATTTCATGACATTGAGCCATCCATTGAGGACAAGAACTTGTCTTCCAACTCCACTGAGCATTGGTAGGATGCTTCAAACCAGAAAACAGATCTTTGTCAGCTCCTCTGTTCATTTCCTTTGGCACTCTTTGGAGGTTCATCACACCACTGGAAGGGTCCACCTTCATTCCCTTAGAGACGGCCATGTGTGCTACAGGTGCTCAAAGCAAAGAAAGGAGATGTGTACGATGCTAGTTGGGACAAACATAGACAAAACTTGTTTCTTCATGAAACTACAACATCTACCCTTTTGTCAGTCTTGCTGATCCTCTGGAAGCTTGTGAGCCTTCCTCAACACTTGACACCAAAAATACTTTGTGATGTGAGTTTGAAAGAAAATTTGCATGTTACTTAGGCCATGTACGGTTACCTAGGCCATGTTACTTAGGCTCTGCTCAATGTTACTTAGGCCTTGCGTGTCACACACATTGCTCAAGTGTGTGTTTTTCAAAAGTGTGACCACAAACACCTAAAATGAATTAACAAAATGTCTTTACAAGATCTCATGTTTTTCCAACATAATCTTGACATTCCAAGGTTGTTTAGCAAAATAGACTTGAGTCTATTCAACAAAATAGACTTTAAATTATCCCCTAGTTTATACTATTAGTTTATTTGAAATCTAACTATTAGTTAGAATTATTGAAATAGACTAATAGTTAGAAAATAGTCTAATCTGGTCTTAGAGGCTGTTCTTGCATATCCAGTATAGTCGCATTCAACAATGCCCCTGGCACACGACGCCATATCTGTAGGGACCATCTCTCGCTCTCGAAGAGTTTGGAGCCTGCTATGTGCTTCTCCGCCAAGCTGGAAGTCTCGCTCGATCCCCCTGACTCTGCACCCGAGGATCCCTTGCTCCTTGACCGGGAGGATCTCTTCTTCTTTTTCCTCCCCCTTCGTATCTTGCGTGCTTTCTTCATGAGCTCGCGCCTGATCTCGATGTCTGGGTCCAAGGCCGTGTTCTTGAAGACTCCCTGACACCTGCTTCCAACTGCACCTTCACTTTTGCCTTGCGTTTTCTTCCCTTCTTCACCTGCTTCTCCTCCTCGGCCTCCCTTTTCCCCTCGGGAGGAACCACATTCTCGGGAGAGTACTGCAACTCTCCCTCTCTTGCCCTTTCTCCCATTTCTTCTCGGAGACGATGAAGAAGATCGTCTCCTCCTCCGCCAACTATACTCTCTCTCGGGAGGCTTCGGCGAGGTTCGTGTGCCAACCTTCTGCCTCCCCCTCTGGAACGTGGTAACGGCGGCCGTGGATCAAATCTCTCGACCAAACCAGGCGATCGCAAGGATCGGGGCAGATGTGTACACGCACTTCCTGACACTTTCCTCCGAGCTCCTTCAACAAAGACTCCTGCTGAGTCCCTGTAACCCAGATTCGCCAGGTAGTGCTCCCGTCGCTCACCACAACTCCTCGAACTTCGCCTGCGATCACGACCGGGGCTTCCCAGAACAAGCCTTCTATGACCACCCTTTGTCTCTTGTGAAGAGTGTCCAATGCAATCTTGTTCAACATCTCCCAAACGGGCTGCTTCCGACGGGGAGACTCTGGTGCCTCCCTCCTCGCCGGGCGTCGCAAAACGCCCCCCCGAATCCGCATAGGTTCCACCGCGGGCCTCCGACGTGGCGGCATGGATGCTACCAATAACCACGTTCGTATTCACGCCACAGGCGGAAATTGGCGTTCCGCTCGTCTTTCTTCTTTCCCTTGTTGGGTGGAGGGTCACCGTAACCCTTGGACTTGGCCCTGACGTTGGTGGCTTCCCAACTGGAATAACCTGGGGGTGGATGATCTGGTTCTCTTGGGGTTGGTCGAACCGGAGGTGGTTTGGGCGGCGGTGGCACGGCCCGTTTCTGGGCGTTGGTAAGGCCTGAGGCACGGGATGGCACTGGTGCCCAGGGGGCTCGGAGCACGGGACTCCGGCTTTGGGACTTGGCCCTTGGCTTTGGCTCCTTCCTCTCACGGCCTGACTCCTTCGGGGGTGAATGGTCTCCACCTCCGTCCTGCCGGGGGCTTGCTGGTCTACTGGACCTTCTTCGGGCTCTGCGTTGGCGACTACGGGAGCGACGTTCTGCTCCCTCTGAGTATAGCTTCCTTGTCTCTACGATCTCGACGACGGCGATCTCGGGATTTTGACTCTTTCCGGCGACTCCTCTTCTCCTTCTTTCCGGTGACAGGAGAATTGTCTTTGGTCTCGGTGTCCTCCTTCTCAATCTCGGTGTCCTTCAAGTCAGTCTCTCGCAATGCACTCTCAACGACCTCCTCGGCCTTCTTCTCAACGACAGGACTGCTCCCACTCTCCTCTGCGGTGTCCACGACGGGAGCAAATCCCTCCTCCGGCTTGGGCTGTTCCTGGTTGCTGTTGAGCTCGGTCTTTACCTTCTGGCTGGTAGTTTTGTCTCCCTCACCCGGGAGAACAGATCCGCTTTCAACGGGAGGAACAGAGGTGGCAGCCCCTGTATCCGCAACGTCCAAGAGTTGCGAGTAAACCTCCCTCAAAAGTGTCACGCCCCTCCTCTGGACCGCACCTGAGCAGTCCGGAGCGTAGAGTAGCCCAACGACCCTACGGACGGTCAAGCAGAGCGCGCAGTTGCACGACTCCCACTCATGCACCATCCGCTGAGCCGAGAGGCTGCGGAATTCAAACCGACGGGTGGTTCTTCCTTAAATTCGGGGCGAAAGTCATGTGTATATATATATATATATGAGGCCCTGAGGACCAGGAGAATTTACAGTTACAAACCATTGCACTCGCCAAGCTACAAGTGGTCACGTCAGCGTAGCACTCTTAGTGAACAGAACCAACTAATATGAGCGCATGCCATATATATATATATATATCCCAAGCAACGAACAAATCAAAGACTCTGGGAAACAACAAAGACATGGACAAAAACCGGACAAAAGGACAACTGGGAGACAAAGAAACATTCTGGGATAATCTGGGGAAGTGCAGTACTCTTATGACAACGGTGCAAACAAAAATATACATACATGACATCCTTACAGATCCACATACCCTCTGAAAATGAACTTTGGGTGAACTGGGCGGGTGACCGGAGGTTCATTCTCTACCTTCTGAGGGTAACAAAATGCATATACCATCATATACCCGACCATTGAATCAGGAGAGCGCATGCCGCTTGAAAACAAAGTGACAGCGGAATCATGTGCTTCAAGTTGCTGAAGAATACGCTCTCAAGTCAAAGAAAAATACAAAGACCAAGATGATTCCTCGAGTATACCCTAGCAAACCAGCAAACCCTGGTATACGCTAGCAGCAAACGACTATGCTATACCAAGCATAGCCTCTGGGAGCACATACAGGATAAGCTGTTTGGGATTCACCCAAACCAACCCGAAGTATCTGAACGTGCATGAACAATTCTTGTGAAATCGTCCCGAATGCTGCCAAAGAAAATTACAAGAGCGGTTTTGGGGGCATGTAGGCTGCGGACAACGGTACAAATTCTTGCAAAACCTGCACAGAAATGTGTTTAGGATGCCTTAGGATGTCCTGGGATTGGTAAAGGACAAAATGACGAAAACCTGTGGAAGACCCACAACTGCTATACAAATCCCTTCGTCATCGGCACGACTGGATCAGTTGGTAGCACCCTGTCCTCCTTGGCCCGTGCCAACATGCATGCCTTGTTCTCTCGGATGTGCAGCAACGGAGACTGTGAGTGCTACTGTTTGTTGTTTTGTCTTCACTCTCCAAAGAAACCTATCCCCTGCCTCCCAAAAAGTGTTAGGTTGCCCAACTTGCACACACTCTGCAGGGATCAATTTCCATAAGTGGTATAGTATAGGATGAACGCAGCCAAGATTCAACTGGAATAGGAACACATATATGTATATTAGTTAAATACTCAATACAATTACAGTATATACACACATTAAAGCACTGCCTTAGTACTTTTAACTTGTAAACATATTGTCAACTCATGCTTTCAGAAGTGCACGTGACCTCGCACTGTCCACCAATCAGCGATTGAGAGACATCGAGCTGCCTCATGGCGTCATGGAACGTACATTTGGGCGCCATCCATCTCTGTGGTCTTCAGAGGTGTGTGTTAAACGCCCGCTCCAACAAAAGGTACAAACATAGAAACACTTTTGGTCACTAGACCCATGCGCATTTGCGCACGGGACTAAACTGTTTCTGAAACGCCTTCAGTCGAGAATACCTATATAGTTCAAAAAACTGCCGCATTTTCTGATGGATTCCGGATAATTCATGAACATTTGGCCACCTTCCGTGCACTAGGTGCACCTCGCCAAGCTGCCGAGAGGTCCACCCCGATCAATTCCACGGACTCGCCAAGCAGCCGTCGGATCGCACGGCCGCACAGCCCCGTGCCGCAGCCCAAGTCCACCACGCGTCGCGGCTGCGCGAGGTGCTCCGACTCGAGGCTCGCGTGATGAGCGAGCTTCGTGGCGAGGATCTGCAGCTCAAGGCGTTTCAATGCGAGGATCTGGTTTTCAAATTGTTTCAACTTTTTGATGTCCTGAAGGAATCCTGCTCAGTTTGGAAGCCTCCTGATTTCGTTCTCGGATCCCAAAGTGTAATTTTGGAAGAAGAAGGAACTGCCAGGACCCCCGGAGGTTTGATGTGCTAGGCTGCAAGGAGTTCCGGGTCTTAGAGACCCCGACGTGGAGGCAACCGTGCCGTACCCGAAAAGAGCCCCTCTTGAACCTCCGTTTATGCAAATCTTGGTGGCAATGAATGGCGGTGTGAGTCTGTTCCAGACACTGATTGTGTTTTGCAGTGTTTCGAACCGTTTCCCCCAATTGGGTCACCCGCGTGATCCTGTGGTCTCCTGTTTGGGTCCTGTCATTTGTCTGTTGATGGAAGACTTCCAAAAAGGATTTTTACTGTATTTCTTCTGTCAACAGTATAGAACTGGAACTTGCCAGGGCTGACCACAGGCCTAAATACTTGCGATCTGCAGGGGATTCAACATGCACTCTTCACCTGTCAGGGATGTGCAAACGGGGCGGACCAAACCCAATCGCTTCAAGCCCCTCGTCAGGAGATAGTCTTAGTTTCCATGATCTTCCACGTTTTGCAGGTTAGTCCATCAACACCCAGTGGGTCCAGCTATATTCATATCAAACAAAGTGAAGTTCAGAAATGTCCGTGCTTACGAACAATCAAATCAATAGCACACGCAAATATTAGACTCGTTCATTCAAGAGTTAGCGTAGACTACAGTAGCTAAGTGAAGAGCCAACTAAGTCCAAGTGTAGACAGTAGCTAAGTGAAGAGCTGAAAGTTCACGAGTTAGCGCGCTAAGAGAAAAGCTAGCTATGTCCGCGAATTAGCGTAGACAGCAGCTAAGCAAAGAGCTAGCTCCAGTCCACGAGCAACTTCCACTTCCCCCTTACACAGTCACACACTTAGGCGATTTTTCATAACCCCTACCTTAGCTAGGTCCCCCGGGGCCCTGCTCAATTCATTAATGTGGCAGGCTAATTAATTAATTGAACCCTCGTAATGGGTGCAAACTAAAATGCCGCAAGCCCCTGCGGAATTACCAGTGTACCGTGGGACGTGATTTATACTGATAAGAAAAAGCAGGCTCCGAGGGCGGTTTGCCCCGCTATAGAATCAAGTATCAACCTCCTGAGGTCCTGCAGTGCTGGAAACATGTTCTCTATAGAATGAGGTGCCTCAGGGTATTGGTGTTCATCATCATGAGAAAATGATATCCAAAAAAAATGAAAATGAATGATGCAAAGCCAAGGTTGGTAGTGAGTCTATAGATGTGGGAAAATATGCAGGTTGAAATTGATTTTACAACAACACAGGACAAAAGTGGTTCAAAGCCTCAACAAATGCAAGTGTTTTATATAAAATGACATATCATATCAACCTACCTGACCTCACAACACACACTGAGATCAATTCCCAACCTTCTACTACTCCAAATGCTTTCTATACAATTAAATGTTAGGACCTCGTAAAATCTGGTGACATGCCGTGCTCTCTCTCTCTCTCTAGAATGAAAGGTCGGCATCCATTTTGCGAGCACAAATGGACTTTTTGGAACCACCTGTTTAAAATGTTGTGTTGTTTCAGGTAGGTTGATAGTCTATAAAATCTGAGGACCATCTTGAGCTCAAGCTCTCAAATTTTATAGAGTTTGTTCGGCCGGGAAACGGAAGTTGTAAGAAAATTAATCGAACCCGTTTGAGAAATTAATCCTGCCGCGGGGGTCGAACCGGTTTAGGTATCGAGGTACCTGAATTAATTTGTTGTTCTTATTGATCCCTGCTTGAAATGCACAACACCAAAAAGCAAACACAAACAAGGGACACGTTGACAAAACTGACCCACCCCCAAATTAAAAGGCGCGTGCAAACATGAACATGAATTATATTCCGGTTCTTTCTGTATTTCTTGTAATGTGTAACTGTTTTTTTTGAACATGTTTGAACGTCTTCCTCATTTCACTCATTTCTATTTGAGCACGCACATGCACAAAATTAATTGCTAGGTTCAATGCTCGGTGTGTCCTGTGTCAGGTCTGGATGGTTCTCTGTTTTGCTTAGCACATCTTATCAAATCTCAACTTATCTGCATATCGCAAATTTACAACGTCTGATGTCAAAAAAAAAATTGACCTCCTCAAATGCCCCCACGCACCAGCAACTGTTAACTTTGGTGAAAGTAATTCCACAAAATTAATATGCACTCATATGCACTCAGTAGGGGACCTTGATTGTTTAATTTTCTAACGGTGCTACAATTTTGCACCTTGATTCTGACAGTTACAGTTACAAACTTTTTCACTTTCCACCTTGATTTTCAATCACATACACACTTTTGCAACGTCCACCGCCATGTTCGACGACCATAACACACATTGGCAATTTCTCACTTCAGTTTTATGACCGTTACACACTGTGGCAACTTCACCTTGGGTTTCGGCGACAGGCGCACACATTGTCCACCTTGATGTTCGACGACAGCTGCACGCTTTGGCAACTTCGATATCAACGAAAAGCCCACGCACCGTAACCGCGCTTGCATCCAGCTCAGAACTGGCTGCAGTCCAAATGTAGCACACTCAGACGCTCAGAACTTTGTCGTTAAAATCTTGTAATCTAGTGGAGGAAGCAGCTTCTGAGAGCTCGGGGTTCAGAACTGTAGTGGAAGTCTAGTGCGGCGTGCGGGTTGGCGCGGCCTTGGTAGGAAGTGCGTGGCTCTGTGCCATTGGGGAAAGGGAATGCGTGTGTAAACTCAGCGTGTTGCTGGTGAGGGGGATGATCAGTGGTGAGGTGTCAGATGCTTGTGTCTACTCTGCGGCGAATGGCGCGGTGAAATACGTCCGTGATGTCGCTGTGGCGATCTGGGTGGAACGTGCAAACTTGCGTGGCTCCGTGCCATTGGGGGGAAGGGAACCACGCGTGTCTAAAGGCGGCGTGTCAATGGTGAGCGGGATGATTCGCGATTTCAACACGGCTTAGTGTCACGTGCTGCTTCGCCGCAGAGGCGAGAGGCATCCGAAGACAAAAAGAACGAGTGTTCTTCGCAAAACGATGAACCTCTTCCTACAATTTTCTTTGTTTTGAAACTTCCGCCCAAGATTACTCGGCTTGCCAAGATTACTCGTATGATCTCATGAGATATCCAGTGTCCATAGACCAAATGGGTGCCCTGGGAGGGCCCGTGGTTGCTCATATTAAGATTCGACCCCTGAAACAAAAAGGTCATTTGGATGCTTGGCACTCCATTCCAAGCGGTTCAGTCGGATCGGGCCCGTCGTCCGCACGCTTCCAAAGAGCCTCGGGAAGCTTATAGTCCAAAACCGTGACCAAGTGCTCTTCGAACTCCTCTGCATATTCATCGAACTCTTCTTCCTGGTGAGTGTGCGTGTGACGCAAGCTGCAGCTATGGTGTCGACCAAGGCCAACTGGTTGTCGTGGAGGACTGGTCGGTCCAGTGTTTAGGGTGGATTCTGGGCGAAAGCCCTGGGATGTCCAGTCCATTATGTTAGACCCGAATTCAGGAATTTACACTTCGCCAAAACTGGTCTTCTTCTATAGGGCATAATATGAACTTTAGGATACTTAGTATTCCATTCATGTCCATTCCCAGTAATAACCGATGATGGCTAGTAAAGACGACTGTTACCTGAATTTCCTAGGCATTCTTCAGGGGTTGGAGCAATCAAGTCGTTTGTACTTGATCTCAAGTGCGTCTCTCTCTCTCTCTATCTTTGTCTCTTGGCAATTCTTGGCGAATGAAATTGACATGTCCAGATTTGAGGGAGTCTTCAAGGGGTGTACCTTTTTCTGTGCCATGTGCAATCAAAGTTCTGAGGAAACTGCCTGCGGGAACACCCGGCAAGTCCGATGTTGGAAAATCCAAAGAGCGGTACGAAGGACGAACAAACAAAGAATGCATAGCATTCAATATAGTTTGGAGGAGTTCACGCCTATATACTCTGAAATTCTCTCAAATCCACAAGGACCACAGCGTTAACCTTTGTTCCCTGTGGAAACCTGTATCACTTGCAAGTTGGATGATCTCCCAATTTGGTCTTTGCAAAGCAAAGACTTTAATAAAATATATGCTAAGATTACTACTAAGATTTTAGAGTACCAAACCAGTCATCCATTTTTTGTCATGGTC